CGGTTTTAGGTATACAGCGACCCCTGGCGGTTCTAGTGTTAAAGCCTATTCGCCATTAAAAAAAAAGAAAAAAAGCAATTTGTCAAGGTATTTGATGCGCATAAAGTGCTGGTGACACAACTTTTCAAAGTAAGTCACAAAATAGCATCTTCATCCGCCCCCAGTACTGCAGTAGGAGGTGACACCAAATCTCATATATGCTTCTAATCTATCCATCCCACCATTTCTATTTCCTTCGCTATAGTTCTTCTTAAGTAATCCTTTGGGTTGCAAAGGCTCAGTGCGTGTGCGGCTGGTAGCAGCGCTGTTAGGCTGATGGAGTGTTCGGAGACCCTGCCTCTTGATCAAGGCTTTCTGTGTAGCCCCCTGGAGAGCCGAAGAACATAGGCATCCATCTTCTTTAAACGCAGTGTGACCGCAGGAGTGCCTCGTCCCGCTAAGTGCAAGATTAAGCTCTGCTAACCAACTTCCTAAATCCTCTTTAGTGGACTGCAGGCCAGGCTAGTGAGGTGAACCACCACACCCACAAACCCCTTGACCCCCTCAACCTCTAGCCACAAGCCCAAGCTCCCTTGACCCAGGTAAGCAATGCATTATCCAGCCGATCAATTGATAAATTGGCCTGTCTGGGCTGCCGTAACTAAATCAGCCAATTCTGATGATTCAGCAGTGGTTTGGGAGCCTGGGCGGGTGTCACCAATCAACAGTCACTACCATGTAGGACAAGTATGGACATTCTCCTGTCACTTGAACTTAATTTATTGCAAACCAGCACATTGATCAAGCCTGTGCTGTTTCACAAGTCGTTCAGGCTTGAGCTTGAAGAACGATGAGAGCAAAAGGTGAAAGGACAGTGGCAGAAGTCGAAAAGGTGTTAAAAGAAACTGAACCAATGGTAGTTTTTGTGTAGAGTGTAGAAATCAGACACCACTTCTAGTTACCTCAGGCTTACTTGTATTCTTTCTCTATTTTGTTCTACCTGAATACTGATATATAAAATATACCACAGATCTGTTGGGATAAAATTAGTTTTTAGAGTTTTGACATATAACATAGAGATATCAAAACAAAACAAAAATAAATAATTTACCGTTTCAAGTTATGCCATCTCTTTGGCCTTTGGTTTAGATCGCTGACACATTTTTCCATGCCTGCAGCTGTAGCTCTCTAGCAGAAACTACCAAAAATAATGAATCATCTCGAAGTGAGCTGAGAAACTACAGGAATTCAGCCTGAGGGACTGGGAAGTTGTTACAACAGAAGAGCCGCGAAACAGTACGATTACTTCACAACAAATACATGTTCGCTAACAGTAAAACGCTGCTTGCATATGTCAAACTTATTTGTACCCCTATAAGCGAAGAACGAAAAATAACTTGAGTGTGCACATCAGGGCCTTTACACATGAAAGCATTTTTGTTTGTAGTTTGGTAAAACTTTCCCACACTCTACTGATTCCTCTTTGTTTGAACTTCTTATAAGTGTGTCTTCTTCTATTGGATTCCGTTCAGGAGGTCTGAATTGCAGTCTTGAATGAATTGTAGCGCCACACTGGACAAACCATGTTATTGAAATGTTTTATTGTCGACTAATCGGTTTAACTCTAATGTATACACGTCTTTTTTAATATGTTACTGTAACAAAGTTCGTAGTTCGGGAAGAAGGAGGCGGGAACCGGCGGATCCTCGCTCCGTTCCCACGGCTCTCGGCCCCGTCCCACTCGTCACATACCCCCATCGCCCCTCGCAGGCCGGGGGGTACCCATGAGACTGCGCTCTACTCCCCCCTCCCCCCTCCGGGGGAGCCGATCACGGCGGCCGCGGCGTACCTGGGGG